TGCCTAAGGCACTTGACTGCTAACCAGAAGGCTGGCGGTTCAAACCCACCAGCCACTCCTCGGAAGGAAGGTTGGGCAATCTACTTCCGTAGTTATACTGCCTCGGAAACCCAAGGACGGGTCGCTATGAGTCAGGTCCGACTCACATAACAACAACACTGCCTATTATTATTAAATTGACTATTATTTCTAAAAGCATAACTTTAGGTAGCATCACTATTATAAGATATTTTAATATCACTGAGACTTCAAAACAATGGACTTTAGGTGCACTAAAGAGAAAACTTTAAGCATAAACTTATTGTTCTAATGCAATACTCTCTGAACAATATGATAAAAAGTACCTATCATATGCATATCCTGTGTTATCCATGGTCAGATTCTGAAAGAGTAACACAGATGACTTACCTTTTCTTTAAATACTGCTTCATCCAATTCCTGAAGGCTTAAAATGGAGTCATTCATCAATTTTTCTTTGTATATGTTTATTTTTTCTTTTTCAATTATATCAGCATTACTAGTCACAAGGAAGCACTTGCTACCTTTTGCTCTTCCTCTACCTAATAGAAAATAAATGTTTTATTTGGTGTCTTTGACTTAAAAATCTGATACAATCAGGAAATAGTTAAAGAAGAGGATAGCCGTATTCCTAATAACCACTTTTGGTTCACTGAATCCGACTTTCCAGGGAAGCTGAGCATGTAAGTGTGAACTCAAATGCAGGTGTCAGCCTGCCTGTTAAATGTGTGGATGAACAAAGAATCCACCCTAGATTTGCTCACTCAGGGTCTCCAATGGTGCACTGTGAGTGGACATTATCAGAAGCACTGCTTTAAAGACAACCCAGTATGAACCCTTCCGTGTAAGATACGTGAAGACACTAAGATGAATGATAAATAGATCATCCCTCAAGAACCTTCTAGGCAATGGGGAAATTAAATATGTTCATCACCACAAGACCACAGGTGGAAAATTGTAAGTGCCCAAGAGAGATATAAAGGATTATGGGCATTCAAAAGAGATTACGCCAGATGGGGGAATTAGGGGTGGTGATAAGGAGACAGGCGAGAGTGTCGAACAAAGAGCATCAGCAGACCACTTTTGCATTAGTATAGTGGTTTATAACTGACAAAATATTTTTACACCTATGTAACGGAGATGCACAAGGCCCTTTTAGGTTGATGGAGGGAGTGTGATAAAGACCTCTCTATAAGGTTTCTACAAGGAATAAATTATGAAGTCAGGTTGGCTGCAGTGGATAATGAATAAAATGGAAGAATGGGAAATAAGGTTGAGAAGATAAGTGGGTGCTGGTTTTTGCAAACTCTTTAATACCAAGTTAATTAGAGAACCATTGAAGTTCTTTCACAGGGAAGTGACATGTTCAGAGCTGTTTTTCAGAGAAAGTAATAAGGCAGCTGTTGTTATAGAAATCAGAAAAAGGAAAGAAAAAAGGAGGAGAAACTAGTTGGGAGGTTATTAGTCCAGGTGGGACAGAAGAACACCACAGACTATCTCTTCTGGAATACAGGGGGCCCACCCACTAGCACCACAAATGCAACCATAAAAGGTCCACACATTGACTGGTAAAGCCTCTCAGTCCAACCTGGAATGATCCTTCCATGTAAGGAATATCTAAGTCAAGGACGGGCAATTAAGCAGCCATTAATTGTGAAGAAGAATCAAAACAGGATATATATTAATGTATATAACTCTAATCACCCAATATTGACCAGGTCAGCCAACACCTTTATAGCTAACAATACCAGAGCCCACTCTGCCAGTGGTCACACACCGAAACATGGCTCTATGAAGGAGAAAAGCCAGAATAACACACACAAATCAGAAAAAAATGGCAGCTATGCAGCAAGGGCATCAAAACTTCCCTTACCTCTGGTTTGAATCATTTTGATGACATTGCCCACATACTCATACAGGATGACCAGATTACACTGAGCAATGTCGATGCCCTCATCTGCAACTGAAGTGGCAATCAGAATCTTGTTATCTCCATTGGATCTGAATGTATCCAACACACTCTTCTGTGCTGGGAGGGTCATACCTGTGTCAGAGTCAGAGAGCATTATACAGTTATGAAAAGGTATTATTATATTATTATACATTATACAGTTACCAAAGATGTATCTTTCCCTTTGATAAAAGGGAATTAATATATAAAAGTAGCTAATACAGGGGGAGATCTGGTAGCATAGTGCCTAAGGCACTTGACTGCTAACCAGAGGCTAGCGGTTCAAACCCATCAGCCACTCCTCAGAAGGAAGGTTGGGCAATCTACTTTCGTAGTGATACCACCTTGGAAACCTAACGAGGGGTCGCTATGAGTCGGGTCCAACTCAACGGCACATAACAACAACAACATTAATTATGGGATGCTAGGAGCTCTGGTAGCATAGTGGCTAAGACACTTGCCTGCTAACCGATGGCTGGCGGTTCAAACCCACCAGCCACTCCTCGGAAGGAAGGTTGGGCAATCCTACTTCCGTAGTGATACTGCCTCGGAAACCCAAGGAGGGGTTGCTATGAGTCAGGTATGACTTGACAGCACATAACAACAACAACAACAGGAGCTCTGGTGGCATAGTGCCTAACACATCTGACTGCTAACCAGAAGGCTGGTGGTTCAAACCCACCAGCCACTCCTGGAAAGGAAGACTGGGCAATCTACTTCCATAGAGATACCACCTTGGAAATCCAAGGAGGGGTCACTATGAGTCAGAACCTACTCGATGGCAGTGAGTTTGGCTTTGGTTTTTTTTCTTACATGGCAGGTACTGTGATAAGTGCTTTTATATTCATTATCTTAAAATAACCGTACCATAGGCAGTACCATCTATTCCTACCCTTCTTTTAGAGAGGACTTTTAGGGTGTCTAATAGCTTGGACGCTGTCACAAGAATGCCTGAAATCAAGTCCCAGCTCTGGCACTTACTAGCTGTGTGACCTCAAATATACCAAAATACATATTGACTTTTCTTGCAAAAATGTCAATAGCTAATAGTAGTACCACTTTTGCATTAGTATAGTGGTTTATAACTGACAAAATATTTTTACACCTATGTAACAGAGATGCACAAGGCCCTTTTAGGTTGATGGAGGGAGTGTGATAATTTCCTTTTATAGACAAGGGCCCTGAGGTTCCAGAGGTATGGCAAAGTGACAGTTAGCAGCAGAGTCAGGTCTTGAACTTCAGTCTGGGAATCCGATTGTGTGCACTTATAATATGAGGTATCTGTCCTCATATTATAGGACAGAGAACTTCTATTCTCTAAGACTCATTCCCTGCCATACCCACAGGGGTGAAAACCTGGGTAACTATACTCAATTTATATTTTTTTCTATGGCACAGACAATACTGTGTGTTCCCCAAGCTCCACTTATTTCTCCTGCTGGGCACACAACTAAATTACACATCCCGGCCTCTCGTGGAGTTAGGTGGCCTTATGACTTAATTCTCGAATGACATGTGGATAGAAGTGATGCATGTCTCTTTCAAACTTGACCTCTGAAAATCCTCCATGCTTTTACTCCTCATCAACAGACCAGATGAGGACAGCAAAGGATTTGGAGGCCCCCTATGATGACAGAGCCACAACAAGCAGCTGGACCCCAGAATATATGGAGGTGCATGGAGCAGTAACCCCCCCTTACCTATTTGTACTGGACTGTGATGTGAGAAATAACTTTTATTGTGTTACATCCCCAAGACTTTGGGGTTTTCAGAGCAATTAGACTACCTTGATGTATACAGACCCTGTCCCCTGGCTACAACTGACTAGATTAAAATAAACATTTGAACCAAGATGGGCCAATAAGATTTTCCTTCCTGGAGTCTGAAATTGGAGCTTGAAGAAAGGTAGTAAATTGGGGAGGTATTGGCAGTCCTGAATGGAGAAGCTCAGAGAGTAGCCTGAAGAAGGAAAAGAACAGAGCAGATGTGCAGGGTTCAGAAGACTTCCCAGGCTCAGTTTCAGCTGCCCATGAAGCCCAAGTATATCTCCTGATCTTAGGTTCTATGAGCATACTGCCTAAGGCACTTGACTGCTAACCAGAAGGCTGGCAGTTCAAACCCACCAGCCAGCCACTCCTCGGAAGGAAGGTTGGACAATCTACTTCTGTAGTGATACTGCCTCAGAAACCCAAGGACAGGTCACTATGAGTCAGGTTTGACTCAACAGCACATAACACAACAACAACATGAGAGGCCCAGATGAAATCAATTTATCTTTTGCTTGGACTAGCCTAAATGGGTTTCTGTTACTTAGGGAAAGAAAGGATCTTGACTGAGACAGCCACAATGCCTTCTAATATCCTATGATCTTGGAGGCTAAATTTAAATTGTTCAATTCACAGAGTGACGTTAGAATGCAGATATTATCCAGTTCATGTGATTGTGGCAAATACTCACAATAATGGCTCAAAGAATATGCATGCTGGAGTTCAAGTTTTATGGGTTCCAAAGGCCCATCCACGTTTACGTATTAGTTCAGTCACCTTCTGATCTCCACTTCACTCTTCATGAAGAAGACCTATCTCAGTAAGGCAAGGGAAGGTATTATCTTCCTTAACCTAGCTGGAAGCAGACTCTCAGCATTTCTAGTAAGACTTATGAGGGTTTATGATTTGCATTGGAAATTCAAAGTCATGAAAATTCAAGTGCAGTAAGTATTATTTTTATAAAGCTGCTTAAAAAAAATCCCTAAGTATTATTTGATTTCATTCTTGAGTTTTTTATCAAGATTCCTTTTTTCAAGATGCACACCCATTGCCATCAAGTCAATTCTGACTTATAGCAACCCTATACAACAAAATAAAACTTCCCCATAGAGTTTCCAAGGCTATAATCTTTTCAGAAGCAGACTGCTATACTTTCTCCCACACAGCAGCTGGTGGATCCTTACATACATAGTATACTAAATTTAATTCATTTTATTTGTTGTTGTTACATGCCATTGAGTTGGTTCTGATTCATAGCAACCCTATGTACAACAGAATGAAACACCGCCAGGTCCTGCACCATCCTCACAATTGTTGCTATCTTGACAAACTGACAGACAAGTGGTGGTCACTATATACACATACCTATTTGCTGACTTGTTTTGCCACGTCCCGTCAATATGCCAGGTTTCAGAAAGCTGAGTTTAGAATTTTCTTCAATCCATTTCTTTAAAGCCTGAAAATGAAATGCAAACTATAGTTTGGACAATATTTGTAAATCTATATTAAAGCAGTATCAAAACATATGTATGAAGAAAAGAAACTTAATGTTTAAGTCAGTACACAGACATTTTTCAGATGGAAAAACAGCTTCTTGGAATTGAACTCCATGAAATAATTAACTACAGTGGTGTAGGTCTTTGCAAAAAAAGTTCAGAATAGTGGGTGTGCAGAACTACTACATGAGTTTAACAACAGTTCAGGATATAAGAGCAATATACAGAAATCAGTTGTACTTCTATAGACTAGCAACAAGTAATTGCAATTTGAAAATTTTAAAAAATATCATTTACAATTTTTAGAAAAGTAATACTTAACTATAAATCTAACAAAATATATGCAGAATCTATATGCTGAAACTAAAGAAGATGATAAGAGAAACTAAAAAAGAAACAAAAGAAGATGTGGTATTTCGCCTCTTAGGTAGCCCTCAATAATCCCCCCCCCCACTTCCTGTATTCAGATCCTACAAATCCTCTCTTCTGTGAGCTACATTTATGAACCACTGCTAATGAATATAATACAACAGATGGGACAAGATATCACTTCCAAAATTGGGTTATAAAATGACTATAGTTTCTATGAGTCGGGGCCGACTCGATGGCACATAACAACAACAACAATAACAACAACAACAACAATAGTTTCCATATTAGGCACTGTCTCTCACTCTCTCTTGGATCACTCACTTTGCAGGAAGCTGCCGTGTTGTGAGGCAGCCCTGTGCAAAGGCCCACATAAGTGAGCTTGGAAGCACATCTTCTACGCCTGCTAATATCCATGTAAGTGAGCTTGGAAGTTGATTCTCCCCCCAGCCAAGCCGTGAGATAACTACAGCCATGACCAACACCTTGACTATAGCCTCATGAGAGATCCTGATCCAGGAGCACCCAGGGAAGCTGCTTCCAGATTCATGACCCAGAGATACTGTAAGATAATTAATGCCTGAAGTTTCTAACCACCAAGTTTTGAGGATATTTGTTACACAACAGATAACACATACAGAAGCCCTAATTAAATGAAGAGATACACTGGAATCATAGATTAGAAGAACTGCTAATGATGGAAAACCAATTTGCTATGTAAACTTTCACCCAAATCACAATTAAAAAACTAAAATAAAAACAAAAAGAATTCCATATGGATCACAGACCTAAATGTAAAATACAAAAGTTAAAATTTCTAGAAGATAATATAAGAATCTTTGTGACCTTGAATACGCATAAAGTTCTTAGATAACAATATCAAAAGCATGAGCCATACAAGAAAAACTTGATAAACTGGACTGTATCGAAATTGAAGGTTTTCAATCTGCAGAAGATACTGTTAGGAGAACGAAAAGATAAGCCACAAACCAGAAAAAACCAATTACATTTCTGACAAAGAACTTTTTGGTAGAATTTAAAAAGAACTCTCAAAAACTCAAAAATAAGATACTAAATAACCCAGTTTTTAAAATGGCCAAATGATCTGAACAGACACACCACCAAAGAAGATATAAGAAGAGTTATATGAAAAGGTGCTTAACCTTATTTAGTTATTATGAAAATTCAAATTTTCCCTGTTCAGGGAGGAGGTAGAAAGAGAACTGTTAATTGTGGGGACTATAATCTGTGTCATGAAACAATACGTGGATGAACTGCTGAGTGTAAAAAGAATCTGCTTTGTAAAACTGCACCCAAATCACACACACAAAAAAAAAATTGTAAAGCTTATAAACAGCCATTTAAAGTGAAACTAATGGTTTTTCCCCCTCTAAAGCAAAAAAGAAAGTAAATCAAAGATGCATAGAACAATCAGTCCAAAGAACTAGTAGACCACATGAACTCCAGCCTCCATGACCCTGAGACCAGAAGAACCAGATGATGCCCAGCTACCACTGCTAACTGCTCTGAAAGGGATCATAATAAGAGGCCCTAGATACAGTGGGAGGAAAACGTGAAACAAAACAAAAAAAAAAAGACTGAGCTTACTGGTGTAATAGAGACTGGTGGAACCCCCAAGACTATAGTCCTTTATACATCCTTCAAGCCCGGAACTGAACTCACTGCTATGGCTCAACTTTCAGCCAAATATTAGACCAAACCAAAAACCAAACTCACTGCCATCGAGTTGATTCAACTTATAGCGACCTCTCCTTAGGTTTCTGAGGCAGTATCTCTACGGAAGGAGATTGCCTGATCTTCCTTCTGAGGAGTAGCTGGCAGGTTTGAACTGCCAGCCTTCTGGTTAGCAGTTAAATGCCTTAGGCACTACACCACCAGAGCATTAGACAGACCTATAAAAACCAAAACCCAAACTCACTCCTGTGGAGCTGATTCTGACTCATAGCAACCCCTCCTTGGGTTTCTGAGTCAGTATCCCTACAGAAGTAGATTGCCCAATCTTCCTTCTGAGTAGTGTCTGGTGGGTTTGAACGGCCAGCCTTCTCATTAGCAGTCAAATGCCTTAGGCACTACACCCCGGAGCTCCCAGACAGGCCTTATACAGTGACCAATAACAAAAGGAAGGCATGCACTCCTTAGAACAATCAACCATATGAGATATAAAAAGGGCAGCATTTGCCCAAGGATAAACTCAGAAGGCAGGAAGGGCTAGGAAGCAAGGATGAATTAATACAGGGAGGAAGTAGGAAGAGTGCTGTTATATTGTGGGGATTGCAATGAACGTCACAAAACAAAACGTATATAAAATGCTGAATGGAAAACCAATGTGCTCTGTAAACTTTCACCCAAATCACAACAAAAAGTTAAAAAAAAACCTATTGAGATACTGTACCCATACAATGGCTAAAGAAAAAAACTAATGATGCAAAATGCTTGCTTGACAGGTATCAAGACTTATTATATTTAAGAGTATTAAAAAAGTAAAGCTTTAGTCTAAGGACAAACTAATAGCTGATTGGAGCAGAACAGAGAGCTTAGAAACAGATCAAGACATATATGGGTGCCTGTTATTTTTTTTTTTTTTTTGTGATTTTAATAAATGGTACTGGGTCAATTATTTAGCCACAATGAATAAGAAAGCTTACATCCACAAGTGCTCTGGTTTTGACAAAGAGAATGGTTCTTGTCTCTGGGTTTAAGTGGTATTCCTCTTGCAAGATAAAGCAAAGTTCTTTGAGTTTAGGGTTCTCATTACTGGGATCCATGGAAACAAGTTCTAGTTCCTTCAACTTTTCTGTAAAAGAGAACATTTTATAAATGGTTTATAAATTCAAGAATACACTGTGACTTTTTACTATAGCTCAAAGGTTGATTTCTAAATCTTTCACCAGAATTTTACAGGAACTAACCTGCAAAGGAGTATACCACCAATTTAAATTGGTACAATCTTTTAAGACAGCAACTCGGCAATATCTATCCAAACTTAAAGCTCACATGTCCTTTGATCCTGATAGTCTACGTTTAGCAATTTAAGCCATACTTCTATTTAGAAAAGTATGGAAAATATCTCCAAAGATGTTCACTGTACTATTGTTTAGAATAGAAAAGAAAAATAGTAAACAACCTAAATGACCAACAATAGGGCAACAGTTTAATAAATCATGGACTAAGCATTTAATGTTAATATGACTTAAAAATAATGAATGATACATGTACATGCTGATATGGAAAGATCTCAGAGATATTTTAAGTAAGAAAGATAAAGGTATAGTAAGTTCAGTATGATCTCATCTTCACAAGCACAGTAATAAACCAATGGTGTGCTCCAGCTGATTCCTACTAAGCTACAAGAGCTGACTGTCAAATTTTCAAGAACTGTATGAGCTGGTTTTAAACAGTCATTATTAAAAATTCAATTATATAAACTTAAAATTGAATAACTTATATATAAACAAATGTAACATAAATCAAAACCACAATGAGATAATACTTATACCCATTAGGATGGATATTATCAAAAAAAAAAGAGAAGACCAAGTGTTGGAGAGAATATGGAGAAACTGGAATCCATATAGTTTGCTGGTGGAAATTTAATATGGTGTAGCTGCTGTTTGTATGGAATCTATCATGTGTAAATCCTACTATTTTTACTTCTTCCAAATACTAAATGATGCAAGCAGAATTTTTTCATAGGTGTTAGATTTCACTGAAGCTAAATATTCCTAATTATAATATTTTCTTAAACGGAGAACAACTCCCAACCATCATTAAACTTACACACATTAAATGTCATATGTGGTAATATATACATATACATATATACATGTACACTGCCACTCCAGTCACCAGACTCCAAAAGGGCTTCCCTCTCTGGGAACAACACTGACCTTCAAATCTCTGGGTTAGAGCTTGCTCAATTTCATCAAATCCTGCTGCTCGGACATTGTTGAAGAAGGCTTTCAAGTAATCCAGAGCATCTTTGATTCGGGCATGCTCACTGATGAGGAGGGCATCATTATATTTCTGTTTGAAATGAAAACTGAGTTTCGACATGTTTCTCATTTCTAACATAACATCTTCTGTTCAATGAACTCTACTTAACAAGAGATTAATTTTGAGGATAAATTTTTCACAAATATATTTCAACCTTCAGTTTTTCCCCTAAGGGTTCAGTAGTAATTTCTTTGAACCAAATACTGTATTTAAAAAGAAAAGAAAAGAAAATCTCAATTACCTGGCATCATTAATTAACTAGAATCACTCTGCTATAAGCTACCTTAGAAGAGAAAGATAAACTTTTATAAAAAATATGTATCAAAGAAAAACAAAGGTAAAGCAACTTCCACATCAACTTGCCCCATAACTCAGACATTCCACTTAATCTCTTCTACATCTAAAGCTGTTAATAAATTGTAATTGCACCTCTTCAGGATGGTGGTGCTGACCACCTACACCAAAAATTCAAGTTAACTAAGAGTCTACAAATGTATGCTGATTGAATGCATTTTAAAAACCTTCTAAATGGAAAAAATGAACAGAGGTGATGGATGTTTTTATTGTGTTGTTGTTTCTTAATATCTTGGTTAACCAGAAAACACCAGAGACCCTGAATGTCTGAGCAAACAGAGGTAATGGATGTTTTTGTTGTGTTGTTGTTTCCTAATTTCTTGGTTAACCAGAAAACACCAGAGATCTTGAATGTCTGAGCATGTGGCTCTACCAAACACAAATAAAACATATGCTTCAGAATATGGCAACAGGACCCAAAATCTGAAATTCAGAGGTCTTTCACTGGTCACATATAAATAATAATGTCCCCTTACATTACCTAATTTTTTCTAACCCCATCAATTAAGGGTACGGTGGAGGCACAGCCTAGAATCTCAGCCTATTTCAGTTCTGTTGCTCCAGTGTTGAGCTTCAAAAGACAAAGAAGGGGCTGAACGTGACAACTTTTGGAGATTGCGTCACAAGAACCTCCTGGAGAAGCTCTTAAGTTAGCTCTTGGAGATAGCACAGAAAGTTGATGTCTCTCAGCTGCCACAGTGAACCTCTCAGTAGGTGCTATGACCAAAATATGCCTTTCAAAAGAAGGAACATACCCGTAGATGTGAAGTATACAAGAACAGTGTCTTACAGATCCTGCTCTCTTCATTTCTGTCTGACATCCGAAACACTACACACTCTTTCTGAACTGCAATGATCCACTGTTCATATTTCTGTGTACCGAATTCCCTATTTTGAATTTGAAATAAGTTACCTGGGAAAATTAAAAAAAAATATTTCACTGTGCCATATGGTCAGTAATCAAAGAATTCATCTGCCTTACCCTTCATTTTCCTTTCTTACTCTTTGTAAAGAAGACACCAAAAGTTGTCATCAAGTCCATTCCAACTCATAGTGACCCCATGTGTCTCAGAGTAGAACAGGGCTCCACAGGGTTTAGAATGGCTGATTTTTCGGAAATGCATCACCAGGCCTTTCTTCCAAGGTACTTCTGGGTAGACTTGAACCTTAGACCTTTTGATTAGCAGCCAAGCACATTAACCATTTTAACCACCCAGGGACTTCATTACCTGATTAACGTTCCTGATAATAAGGTAGTGGGGGTTGGATGGAAGACTGAGTGGAGAAGGGTAAATCAATTGAAAGTCTATTAAAACAGGACCTAAGTTATACTGTGAAAGAAAAGGAAAGTTAAAAGCAAAATAAGGGTGAAAAGAAAGACACCCTGAGCTGTCTCACAGACATCATAAATCCAATGCCTCCAAGACGCTAAACTCATTTTGTACCTGCCAAAGCTGCTCCTAATCCTGGAACCAATAACACCCACTGGCATACAAATAGGTGCTCAAGCTAGAAACCTGGGAGGAAGTCACCTGGCTGCTTCCTCTCTCTCACTCCCACCCAAATCCATTTAGCCATTAAGTTATGCACCTTTCACATCCCACCACCCCTCTCTAACCCACCTTCACTACCTGTTTGGTTTTCTTCATTTACCATTATCTTTATCACATCACTAATCTGTTTAAAATCTTCAATTGCTTTTAGGATGAAATTCAAACTCAGCTTGGCCTACCATGCCCTCCACTATCTGTCCCCACCTCTCCCCTTAGCCTCCCTCCTTTCCATTACTCACACGGTAGAATTGTCATGAAATGCTTCTAGTTCCTAAATCACTGTGCTCTCTCTTCTCTCTATACCTGCAGTCCTTTCCTTATATATTTTTCTCTCCTTAACTTGGCCGACATCTTCAAGATTGGTCTCAGGTACTACCTCCCCCAGGAAGCTTTCCCTGAAACCCCGTCTAGGTCAAAGTTCCCATGTGCTCCACTGGCACCCAGTGTGTAACTCTGCTTTGTCCCATGGAAATTATACCCAGCTGATTCTTGTCTCTTTGTCTATGACTTTCCTGAGGGCAGGGATTATATCTTTAATCTTGGTATTTCCATTTATTATGCCTGGAGCAATAAATATGTGGTGAGTGAATGAATAAATGGAGGAAAAACAAAACTTGGTGATTGCATGAAGGAGTCACAAAAGAAGAAAGAATCAAAGATCACCCCTAGGTTTGAATCTCAGTCACCAGGGAATTGGTGGTTCCATTCATGGGAATAAGGATATCAGGATGAAGTCAATTTGGAAGGTCAAGAAAATGATGAACTGATACGAATATGATATTCTTGAAGTATGTGTGTCCAGATGGATTTACAAAAGAAAAAATTAAAAAAAGAAAAAAAGCAAGAGGGAATAAAGGAGGACTTACAAGATTCCTGAATACTCAAGAGAGTCAACCTCTAGATATGATCTTGATATTGTTCAAACTGAAGACAATGCAAAAAGATATTGGTGAACAGTAAATGGCTACTCCCAAGCAGAGAGGATACAAAATAAGAAATTTTTCTCACCAAGACTTTGAGTACCAAGTTCTTCAAAGACTCTCTGTGCCTTTCTCTCCACCTCCATCATCAGCTGAGATATAATGTATTTAAATTTGTTGATAATCCGTGTTTCCACCTTCCTGAAAACTAGAGCCATCAAAGGATGGTGAGTACTTTTTTAAAAAGAACAGATCATAGGTCAAAGTAATTACCTCCAAACCCTGCTGTGCCTTTGTTACTTCCTCTGTAAAATCTCAAACTCCAGGCTCCCTAGCAGATGGTCTAAATGAGATAACAAATGTGCCAAAACCTTTCAATGGCTCCCTGTTGCTTCATGCTCTGATTCTAACATCTCTGTCTTTCATGGTCTGGGTCTAACCTGCCTTTTCATTCTGGCTCTCTCATGATCTCAGCACAGCAGAGGCTGGTTTCTACCTTGTCTCTGCAAAGGCCACACTCTTTAAACCTATCTCTGTTCTCTGATATTTTCTTTCCCCAACTAACCATCCAGAGTGTTCACACTGATCCCACCATCCACCATTGCATTCTTCCAGTAGGAACATATTAAATGCCCATCACGTGCAGGTACTGGTGATAGAAACTTGAAAAGAATGTACTCTCTGCTCCAGAGAGGTCTGCATTCTTAGGGGAGAGACAGGTATGTACTTGACTAACCATGGCAGGGTGATGTAACAGAAGTATGTGCAAGGTATCTTGGGGTATGGAGGAGGGAGGATCTATTTCTTTAGGGGAGGCAGTGTTGTAGAATAGGGAAAAGGAAGAGGAGGAAGGAAGAGCAGTCAAGTACAAAAGACAGCATTGTCAGAATCTTGGAGGAAAAAGCACAGGACATGTTTAAGGATCCAAGAGAATGCAACAAAGTTGGGTACATGGGAGGCAGAAGAGGATGAAGATCAGACAAATGGAGGGAATGGATCACAAAATCCTACATGACACTAAAAAGTTCAGATTGGCTATCTCCTCTAAAATCCTTATGGGCAGCCCCCGGAGAAGAACTTGACTGCCCCTCTTCCTACTATTCCATATGTGTTTGTTCTGTCTTACACTCATAAAGTCATATGCCACTTATTGAACAAGAATGAAGTCATAAATAATCTATACTCTCCCATATAAAGTTAGTAGAGGGTTGGTATTTGATAAACATTTATTGGTCCATATTATAAAAAGTCATATTCTGATTTAAGGGAAGTTGTTATAAATTCAGGTAAGTTCATTTCAACTAAAATTATCAGGTAAATATTTAGTAATGAAATTACCACACAGTATTTTCCTCAGGCATGGAACAAGAGAGGATTAAGCCAGGCACTGGGCCATTTTCATGCTTATGTTTTCTCATCACCTCTTACTCACTGTTACTACCTTTACGGGAGTTTTATGGATCCAAAGAGCAAGACTGTTTGACTTCTATGTTTCATCCATTGCTTGGGAAAGAACTCAGTAGGGGAGAGAGTTGGAAATGTGATTTTTTTCCCAAGCTTGGGGTTAAATATTTTCTACCAAACAGAGAAAGGATAAAAATGCAGTGTTCATTTAGATATCATCGATGTAACTCTGGGTTAGAAGTAGCAGAGGGTAACAAAGTCCCGACGGGCTTGTTAATGGATGCCACTTACATTTCTGGGGCTTATAAACAACTTCCTCCAGTTCCTCCAAGTTGTCTTTAACTGTTGCTATCACTGATGCATCGAGAGAAGCACATATTTTGCAGATATATGCCATGGCTTCAATCATGTTTTTGGCATCCCCGACACCAATTGAAGCAGTCAGCCCAATGACCTGTGAGGAGCAGCCCAAATCATCAAATGTCTGCGAAATAGCATAACACTTCTAAAAGTCCTCGGGTAACTCTGTCTTGGTAGGGTAGTTTTTTGTTTCGTTTTGTTTTGTTAAACTAACTTCAGACAAAAAGCAAGAACATTATTTTTATACTGACACTCTCTGTTGTTGTTGTTATGTGCCGTGGAGTCAGACCTGACTCATAGCGACCCCTCCTTGGGTTTCTGAGGCAGTATCACTATGGAAGTAGATTGCCCCACCTTCCTTCCAAGGAGTGGCTGGTGAGTTTGAACCGCCAGCCTTCTGGTTAGCAGTCAAGTGCCTTAGGCACTATGTTACCAGAGGTCCTCTGACACTCTCTATGACATTCAAAATAGAAAGATCCCCATCAGACTAAACCAAAACAGCTGCCATTAAGTTGATTCCAACTAATGGAGACCTCATATGTGCAAAGTAGAACTTCACTCCATAGGGTTTTCAGGAGCTGTGACTTCATGGAAGCAGATGACCAGGTCTTTCTTCTAAGGAGCTGCTGGATGGATTCAAACCACCAACCTTTCAGTTAGTAGCTGAGTGCCCAACCATCTGCACTACCCACAGACTGCCTCTATTAGCCTAAGTACTAAATGAATGCAGGCATGGTAACACAGCAGCAAAACATTAAGCAACATAAAAACTGAGATAAGAGATTTTTTAAGGACTTCTTTCTTCTTTACCCGTTACCCCTGTGATGCTGAACAATACGTTAAAAAGGTCAAGTACTGAAATCAGACACTTCCATTCCAATCTCTGCCATACCACACTGGCTGTGTGTCCTTGAATCTTCAGCTCACTGTAAAGATGGGGAACATTGGCTATTTAAAAACTGGATTCAGTGAGATAATGCCTACGAAGAGTTGAGCTTACATAAAGATTCATTTCTTCTTCCAACACTCAATAAATATTGAGTAACTGACTCTCAAGCAAAGAATCTAGTTAACTACCAATTTTATCCTGAAAGAAAAAGCTTAATATGGTTGCTATTGAAGAATATTTTTTGCCTATAGGCACCATACTGAATTTCTTCTAACCTATGCTTCCCAAAAGAGTAATTATTAAGGCTGGAGAACAGTACACAAATGTGTAGAGTGGTATTGATATAAATTCATGGTTTCCATATGATAAGCAATTCTGTGTATTCTCTCAGTTCTCCCATTTCAAACCCTCTCCACCCTCCCAGAGCACACTGTTCCATTCCCATCTTGATTATTCTCAGCAAATGACCTACCACTCCTTCTACATTTAAAACAAAAGAGAGGTTGTAAGATAGGGATTCCCTTCACTTCTGCCCCCATCGAGGAACTCCTCTTTCTTGACTTTTCTCACTGTCTTCCTTCAAGTAACACTAGTAATGATGTTCCATCTCCTCTCCCATATCAATCTACCCACTTGCAATTTATCCCATACCCTCTGGTGTCTTCCATCATCTTGCTCTACCAACATTCCTTCTGACCTTCCCATCCCACCTCACCAACTACTATTCCTTGCCTCACACTCTACACTCCAACAGCACTTGATGGGCTTTAGGTTCTTGAGCATACCATGCTCTTTCATACCTCTGTGCCTCTGGATACACAGCACTCTCTTACTGAATCTCAGCCTGATAAATTCCTGTTAGGTCTTACCTGACTTTTATAGCACACTTTGGAGCTCTTGCATTTATGTTCTGACTGCATCTTGTTCCCATCACCACAGCATGCCATCACGATAAACTGTGACATAATCCTTACATGTCTGGCTTCCCATAGACTTAAGTTCTTTTAATGCAAGGACTATGTCTTTTTATATTTCTATCCTCAGTGCTTAGCATAGTGCATGGCATATGTAGCCAGAATATATATATACCCATTAAGTGACTATATAATAATATGTATGTGAAGTTAATATATATCTATTAAGAGAATGAATGAATGAAAATAAATTTACATATGTTGTTGTTATGTGCCATCAAGCCGGACCCTACTCATAGCAACCCCTCCTTGGATTTCTGAGGCGGTATCTCTATGGAAGTAGACTGCCCAATCTTCCTTCTGAGGAGTGCTGGTGGATTTGAACCACCAGCCTTCTGGTTAGCAGTCAAGTGTCTTAGGCACTACACTACCAGAGCTCCCATAGAGTATATAAAATGAATCACTATAATATAAACTTAGGATCTGAAAAGGCCATCCACAATGTGGCCACAAGAGTAAGTAAACAGGATTTAGGAAGACTGTAGTTCTTACAGAATCCATCTGATTTTGGAGATACCTGGGGCAGTGGGTCTGAAGATCCTCCAAGCTTCTGATCTAGATAATGAAACATGATTTTATTGTATGGGTGTTGTTTACTGGTATTGTGGCATTCATCAAATATCATCAAAGTAAAGAGAGAGAGTGATGGAATAGTCCCATTTTTAAGGTTGTTCACAAGAATCTGTGGAGTTAAAATGATGATGTCATTGTTCTCAACAATCTGTCTTACTGGGACCTGTTCAGCTGTTGTTCCAGAAATGCCTGCAACTCTGTACCTGGGAAAGGACACAAATACCCTGTTACCAACCACTGTGTGAAAGGCAAGCCACAAAGATGAAACATTAAGTTAGAATATCAATTGATTAAGTTCTCCCTGGGTCTAAAAGGCACATATCTGGACACATGTTAAATGCTTATCACAGAGCCTAAAACAACGTAGTAAATGATCAATAAATGCAAGTTAGTCATAATTGAGAGAGTTGCTGCCATTACATTCCTTCAAGCCAATTCTGATTTTTAGTGACCCTATAAGATGGAGAACTGTCCCGCAGGCTTTTCTAGGCTATAATTTTCATGGGAGCAGATCACTGGGTCTTTTCTTGCACATAACCACTGGTAGGTTTGAACTGCCAGCCTTTTGGTTAGCAGTCAAGCACTGAACCATTGCATCACCAGGGCTCCTTGTAATTGATAATGTTGTTGTTGTTGTTGTTGTTATGTGCCGTGGGGTCAGATCTGACTCATAGCGACCCCTCCTTGGGTTTCCGAGGCAGTATCACTATGGAAGTAGATTGCCCCATCTTCCTTCCGTAACTGATAAGAGTATATGTTAATTTTTTCAGGTCACTAAGGAAAAAAACAGGAGCTCTAGTAGCATAGTGCCTAAGGCACATAACAACTCAACAACAAGGAAAAGAATACTTAAAGAAAACAGTATTATTAAATAAATTATAAAATCACTAAAGAAGTTAAATGTGCCATTTAAATATCAAATTTATCTCTTAAGAAGTCATTTAGTCACTCTACAGAGCCAACCAGAGTTTAGAATTTCTAGGTATACCTAACAAAAAGATTTGAATCCATGAAGAAATCACATATAGATTATATAGAGATTGAATCTAGCATAATTTTTTTTAAAGCATGGTATTTCAAAAACTAAAACCAAAAAAAAAAAAAAAAATGTAAGTTGTATGAAGTTAGAAAAGAAAAGGGTGGACAAACCATTATACGTACCCGAGTCTTTCAAAGTATTTTGAGAAGACAGATTTCTGCTGTTCATATACTGGGATTTGAACAGCAAAAAAGACAACCTTCCCTCTTTGTCCTTGTGGAAATTTTTTAAGATGATGCTCACATATAAGAACGGAAACAAAGGTTTTCCCACAACCTTTTAACATGAAAGGAAAAAGAACAAAACACATCACTAACATTACATATTTAGTTCTGGCTCCCCTAAAACCAGTAGGCTGACTCTTAAATTGATAATAGGGAAGTACTAAGAAGAACTGCAGAATTTACAAAATAACGAAAATATATGCACTCAGTGAGGGCATTTTAGTAGACTAACAAAAGTTCATTTTCTTTCCCCTCTAATGTCCTTGAGACATTAGGTATCTTGATAGGGCAGTCTCTTAAAAAACAAATGGAACAAGGAAAAAAATTGAAACTTGCTCATTTTTTCCAGGTATTCAATAAAAGAAAAAAGATTTTTTAAAAAAGAAGCAAACAAGGAAACAAACTATATAAGTAACGGCAATCAGTTTACCAGTAGGAGCACATATGACTGTATTTTTTCCATTCATAGCAGGCAAAGCAAGCTCTAGTTGGTAATTTCTTGTCTTCAACGGGCTGAATGAGTTAGTATGAGACACTTCTGTAACACGAAAGGAACAAAATTACCAAACAGTTATGGCTCTGTGGAATCACAGCAGTCCAATGGACATGAATTCTGACTCTGGCAAGAGACACATCATTTAAGGAGTCTAGAATCCTTGTCTCTTGTTAACCATTTCAGCTTCTCCACTGACCTGAAGTTCAAACGTTTCCCTCAATAGCAAAGGATTGACTGCAAAGATGAAAAGCAAATCAATGGAGAATTCTTTCTTATTATGGGAGCTTAGTAGGGAAGAACTAAGGTGAGAATGGCCTAATTCAGGTCAAGGCAAATGCCTACAGGGTAAAGGAAATACTAAATACAACAAAACAACAAACTCCTCCAAGATCTTTGAAGAAAAATAGCTAATAATTGGATTCCCAAACACTCTCTTATTGAAGAGCAACCCCATACTCTGTAATTCTTGGTATTTTCTTTAAAAAGAAATTAAAAAAAAAAAAAAAAATCAGAGATTTTATCACACTCCTAAAATATAATCATATAAAATGTTAAGAGACAGTAAAGATTTTGGAAATCACCTTGTGAATCCAACCCATCCATTTTAAAGAAAGGGAGAATTTCTGAAAGGCTAAGTGAGTTGACACTACTTGTCATTAAGCATAATTTCCTTCCCCATACCCTTTTATATATAACTGTGTGTTGTGTGTGTGTGTGTGTGTGTGTGTGTGTGTCTAATATGGGTGAAAGTTTACAGGGCAAATTGGTTTTCCATTCAACTACTGGGAACATGAAAATGTTGGTTCTCCCTATATCGACACATATACTCAAGATGATCCTAATAAAAATCTTACATTTTATCCTGTGACACTGATTGCAATCCCACAATGTATTAGCACTCCTCCCACTTCCTCCTTGTGTTTACCATTTTCATTCATCCTTCTTTCCTATCCCTTTCTGCCCTGTGAGCTTTATTCCTATGCAAATGATGTCCTTTTGATCTCAGAAGGTTGACTGTTCTAAAGAATGCATCCTCCCTAGTGTTATTGTTCACCTTATAGGCCTGCCTATTGTTTGGCTGAGAGGTGAGCCACAGCAGTGAGTTCAGATCTAGGCTTGAAGGATGTTAAAAGGCCATAGTCTAGGGTGTTCTACCAGTCTCTATCAAACAAGTTATCACGGTCTTTTTTATGATTTTGAATTCTGTTCCACATTCTTCTCTCACTCTTCCAGGACCTATGATGATAGTCCCTTTCAGAGCAGTCAGCAATGGTGGCCAGGCACCATACAGTTCTTCTGGTCTCAGGATCATAGAGACTGGGGTTCATGTTGTCCATTAAATTGTTTCCTTGTGTCTCTGAGTTTCTTCACTCTTCTTTGCTTCAGATGGGGAGAGACCAGTAGTTGCACCTTATATGTAACTTTTTATGCTGCCTCCTTATGCAACTTTCTGGTCTCATGTGACAGTCATAAAAATATGCTTCAAGAAAGACAAGGTGGTTGCCCAGCCACCACTACCAAACATCCTGACTAGAGTCACACTAGATGGATTCTGATAGAAAGAGAAAAATGTGGAACAGACCTTCAAATTCTCAAAGAATCCAGACTTACTGGACCAACTGAGACTGGAGGAACCAAAATTATCCCCTAAAACTACCTTTTAACTAAATAGCAGGGTAGCTCAAAAAGTAAAAAAGGTCACCTTTGAACACTGCACTCTTAAAAAATTATCTATATGAGACCAAATGGACAACTGTTACTGTAAAGCACAGATGAGAAGGCTCTGGGGCAGTGAGTTAATGGGAATGGACTAAGTTAACCAGAGTAGAAATCATGAGAAAGTTGACATAATATGAAGAATGTAATCAATGGCACTGAGCATTATGTATAGAAATTGTTGAACAGGAACTTATTTTGTTGTATATACTTTCACCAAAAATACAATAAAATATTTTTGAAGAGAAAGATAAAGTGGGCTTTATATAGTATCTTTGTGACAATTAGAAAAAGGAGCCCCTCCTGGAGCACAGATTGGATCTCGGCACCCACTCAAATCCTCAGCCATGCACAGCTTGTGCAGTGCACAAACTTCGTTACTTGCATGGCAGCCCTGGGACCTGAAAAGAAAACTTAGCAAGCGGCTCACAATAGTAGACGTATTTCTTTACAAAAGCAGGGCTGGTTGTGGATTTCATAGAAGTTGAATAAGCTGAGTTTCTGGGAAGACTATATTTTTAATGTAGACATGTAATATGTAGACAAAATTCTTAGTGATAAAAGGATAGGAAAAAGAAGCAGACAATAGGTATGGAAGGGAAAGAATGGCATTTCTAATTACTGAAAAAAGATCTATTTTGACAAAAATTCTCTTTTCTGGTTTTCCTTAAAAACCTTTTCACAAGGCTGTGACTCTGGCACTGTAAGACATAAAACAGCTGAAGAGCAGCATTACAGAAAAGAACAAACGCCAGGTACCTGCAGGCAGACACGAACTCTGACTAAGGTTCTGGGATTCAGGTTCTTCCTGGTAATATATCTGTACTTCGGAAGTTTCTATTTCATCATTCTCAAGATCTTCACTTTTAACATCTTTTGCACCTTTATGAGATTAAAAAAAAAAAAACTGAGAATTTTAACATAACCTAATATAGGTATATCCTGCACTTTTGGGAAGTTTGCTTTATGCTACATCGTTTTTATGAAAAAGCTCCATTAATACTTGTTTGCTAACCAAAAGAAATCCGAAGAGGACCCTGGTTTTTACAAAAAAAAAAAAAAAGGAGAAAAGTGAAACTATTGTTCAGTGTTTGCTTTGCAGCGAACTGTTAAAGAAGCAGCATGCACCCTGAGAGGCGAGAGTGTAGTTCCCTGGGAACTACATTCACTAGCATAACATCAAGCCACCATAGCTTTGAACTGTTCTGTGAACACTCTATGTTGGTGTTATTTTAAGTTTGTGTTATTTGGTATGATTTATTAGGTTATTTTTCAGGTCTAGGAACACTCACAATATTTTCCTACATAAACTGACAGTAATCACTTCTTTACTTTGTACCATTTCAGCTTAGGAAAGGTTTCACCCTACTTTTGGATCGTGGGGAAAACCTTTAATAGTTTTGAAGGGGTAAGCTCCACACAAAGGTCATAACACTGAAATTTTAAACTTTAATTTAAACTTCCCTGCAACAACCCCCTTCACTTTTTGAAACAATTAAAAGAACAGTTTTGATTTTGAAATCTCAATTTGGATTTTGAACTCCAATACCATTTAGCACTTTATTACTCAAAGTGTGGGGCATGGTTGTTAGAAATGAAGAATCCGGAGCTCCTACTACATCAGGAGCTGCATTTAAACAAGATCCACAGGTACATTAAAGAGAATGTTCAGGAGACGTTCATGTCTTCTATTTCTAACTGCCCTGGACCCGAGAATTTCTGGAATAACTAAGAAGCCAAGAAAAGCAAAGATCAAACACTCAAATGGTTTAACTTCAGCCTTTAAAACAATGCTCTGAGAAGATGTTAGCATCAGGAAACCAAAGGAGTGCTCAGGTGCTTAATCAATGTAGACTGTTCTTTTCTTTTTTCCCGTACTCCTGGTCTGGTCCAGTTGCAGATGGGTGTCAGGTGAAAGAACCAGGCAAGGTCTATTTTGGTTCTACTCCAAAAAAGAAGTGAGCCCTAGGGTTTGAACCTTTAACTCTAGAATTCTCAAGCTACCTCTCTGATAATCTAGACACAGACTGGGAGCTCAGACTCTGCCTTCTCCATGTACTTTTGGCCAGATGGGTTCATTCTGGTTGAGAGTGGTTTGTCTTGGTCCATTTTTAGGGGTTATATACAACCAAACTACTTCTGTAATCAAGTAACCAGCTTCCTACCAGAACTCAACTTTATGCTGGTCTTTGCCTTGGGATGCAGCCACAGGAATTTGAAGGGAAAAGTGCCTCTTAACAGTGAGTGAAAAATACGTAGGCATGAGGGAAACCCTAAGTAGAATCGTGAGGAAGGGAGAGCATGTTTTCAGACCTTCCCACTTCTTACTTCCAAAGTTCTTCCTCAGAAAGTCCTACCTTCCTCTACATGCCACAGTTCACTGAAGTTGCTCTCTTCTTTCTCCAAAGCAAGTTTCAAAGCTTTGGGCCAGTTCTCCTTGTCTGATCTGAGCAGGCATTCAACCATTTTCTCTGCACCTGCCATCATCCCCTTGTTGGAACAAACCTAAGCAAGGCAAATGCAATGTGTTCATTATCATCATCTCAAAAATTTACCTTTTATGAGATTTTACAGAAGAAATATAAGTACTACCTGATTTAAAACTCATTGTATACTAGGGTTCAGTGGGGTTTTATTCATGACCATTTTTGTGCCATCCAACAAAGGATTTTAAGATAGCCTTTCCTTCATGCTTGTCCTCTACACATGACATCACTATGCAAGCCAAGACTCCCCAACTCTTCTGAGCTCTTAGACCTACCATCATCAGCTATATCAGAAAAAGAATTTATCTGTTCACCAACCATTCAGAATATGGGTATATTGGCATAGAGAAATGTTTGGAAGAATGTAACAAAATATTAACTTATGTTTTTTTTCTTCTGGGTAGTGGGGTTTATATGACTTATTAATAATCATCATTAATAAAATCTATTAAAGTTATTATAAGCATTGTTATTATGTGCCAGGTATAAGCAAGCACTTTACAAATATTATCTCATTTAATCCCTAGAAAAATATCACAGTAATAAGGCACTATTATTAGGAGAACTGGCCCATTTACACATGAAGAAAGAGAGGCTAACTCCTTGCCCAAAATCACACCACTAGAAAGTGGCTGAGCCAGAATTCTAATAAAATTAAGTTTCTATAGCCTGAGTGTTTTACTACTGGTCGATAGCCTTTTTATTTTTATCTTTTAATTTTCTGAACTGTCCGATTTTAGGAGCTCTGGTGACATAGTGCCTAAGGCATTTGACTGTTAACCAGAAGGCTGGCAGTTCAAACCCATCAGCCACTCCTCGGAAGGAAGACTGGGCAATCTACTTCTGTGGTGGTACTGCCTCGGAAACCCAAGGAGCGTTCGATTTTATTTCAATTGGCATAAAATATTTTCCACAAAGGTAATAAAGTAATTTTAACTGAAAAAAAAAGGGCAAATCTGGAAGAAAATTGATATAAAAATTACTCAAGTCACATTAAAAGCACTACTTCTGTAGTGATACTGCCTCGGAAACCCAAGGAGGGGTCACTATGAGTCGGGTCCAACTTGACGGCACATAACAACAACAACAACAACAACTATGTAAATTATTCCTTGAATTTGAGAATTTTTGTGAATTTCAGTTATCTTTCTCAGGTCTCAAACAGTTTAGAAATTAGAAGATACATTCCATTTTCAAGTCATATTTACAAATACTAACATTTTTATATTAATTAACTTACTTGTCTAATTTCTTCACATTCTTGATTAATTAAGCAATGGGATATTTCAGGAAGAATATCTGTTGGATTAATTCTGGTTTTAAATTCTGGTTGTAAACGTTTTAAAAGCAATCTGTGCTCCTCCAACTTCTCAATTTTTTGAAAATCCCAATTTTCACAGGCTTCATAAAGTCCAGTATAACCTGAAAAGAAAGAAGAACATTTATGATATCAGCTGAAAAATACTTTGAGATTAATATCATAAGAATTGTGTTTGCATACACAGTGAAAGAACTCTTAAAGAAAAAAAAAATCTATGAATTACCTAAATAAATAATGATTTTTCAAAAAGAAAACTCAATGTGTTCATTTTAGCCACCTAAACTTTTTTTTTTTTTTCAACCTTTACTATGGTTTGGGTTCAAGTTTACAGAGCAAATTGATTTGCCATTCACCACTTTATACACATTTTGTTTCATAACATTGGTTGCAATCCATTCAGTGTAACAATATTCTTCCCACTTCCTTCCTGGGTTCCCAGTTTCCATTTGTTCTTCTTTCTTGTCCCTTCCTGCCTTCTGAGCTTTGTTTACAGATAAAGGCTACCTTTTTGGTCTTGTATGGTTGATTGTACTGAGGAGCAAGTTCCTTCCTGGTGTTAACATTTACTTTATAGACAGACTTCTCTGTTGTTTGGCTGAAAGACTGTTGTTATTATTGGCTGTTGTTGTTGTTATGTGCCGTCAAGTCAGACTCAACTCATAGCGACCCCTCCTTGGGTTTCCAAGGCAGTCTATCACTACGGAAGTAGATTGCCCAACCTTCCTTCTGAGGAGTGGCTGGTGGGTTTGAACCACCAGCCTTCTAGTTAGCAGTCAAGTGCCTTAGGCACTATGCTACTACAGCTCCATAGATGAGTTGTTGTTGTTGTTGTTGTTGTGTGCCATCGAGTCGGCCCTGACTCATAGCGACCCCTCCTTGGGTTTCCGAGGCAGTATCACTACGGAAGTAGGATTGCCCAACCTTCCTTCCGAGGAGTGGCTGGTGGGTTTGAACCGCCAGCCTTCTGGTTAGCAGTCAAGTGCTTTAGCCACTATGCTACCAGAGCTCCCATAGATGAGTTAGGCACCCAATATTTTTATGTCCTCTAAAAAGGTTTATCATCTCTTAGGAGAAAGTAGTATTAAGGACAAATTAGAAGTCTTGTCTTTGGTCTAAGTATAAAGTTCTCTTTCTAGAGTGACCCATAAATTTCACTTACGACCCTTCATTTGCCTTTGTTGTTGGTTTCTGGGTGCCATCAAGCTGATTCTTCACAATACATGAACATTTTCAATATTAAATTCATTTTGAAGCCTTTATCATATATTCTGGATACTAACCCTTTCGTGATTACATATTTTACACATATATTCTCTCACTTTATGACTTGTTTTTTCACCTTCTTTATAGTGTTTTTAAATAAATAGATGTCTTAATTTTAATGTCGTCAAATGAATCAAACTTTCCTTTATGGTTAATGCTTCAATGTCCTGTTTCACAAACCCTGCCCTACCCAAGGTAAATAAGTAATAATAAAAGTAAATAATAAAAATATATTATTCTATATTTTTTCTAAAATTCTTTAAATTTTGCCTTTTATATTAAGTTTTTAATTCTTTTGAAATTTAGTCTTTGTGAATGGAATAACGTAAGGAACACAAAGTAACTTGTATAAAAAATTAGTATTTGTTTGGTTTTAAACATTATCCTATTAATGTTATCCTGTTTATAACGGCCCACTGCAACTTATCAAATAGCTCTTCTTTCCTAGGGTCCCATAAACATGTGGGTCTGTTTAGATGCTCTTTTATTTCATTATATAGGTCAAATTGTTGATTCCAGAATAAACACTACATTGTCTCAGTGGCTGTAGCTGTGCAATAAAACTTGATATCTAGAAGGGGGAGCCCCACCTACTTAATTCTTCTTCTTGAGGGGTGTCTTGACTAGTCTTAGATCATAATTCTTTCATAAATAGTTGAGAATCAGTTTTCAAATTAACTGAAAAGGTCTGTAAGATTTTTATTAGAATCACCTTGAGTATATGTATCAATATAGGGAGAACCAACATTTTCATGTTACCAAGTCATCTTCTCCACGTGCATGCATAGATATCTCCATTTAGTAGGGACTTCTTTAATATCTTCAATAATATAACATTTTCTTTATTCAGATTTTAGACTTTTGTTAGATTCATCCCTAAATGTCTTAAAGTTTTTGCTACTATTACAAATTTCGTTTTGGATTACATATTAGGTTTGCTTCCAATGGATTAACATAAAAATAATTTTTATATGCTGATCTTCTATCCAAGAATCTTGCTAAACTCTTCCATTAATTATAATTATCTTTCTGTACATGCTTTTGGATATTTCAGGTATATACTGATATCATCTGCCTGAAAATAGTCTTTACATAGCCTCAGATTAAGAGACATAAATCATACAGATACCTCAAAAGCAACAGATGAAGACTGGTGAAACTCCTGAGACCGTGGGCCTTAGACACCCTTCAAGCTGGGAACTGAACGTAACTCATAAGGCTTAACTTTCAGCCAAACAATACACAGGCCTATAAAGTGAACAATACCAGAAAGGTATGCACTCCTTAGAACAATCAACCATATGAGATGCACTCCTTAGAACAACCAACAATATGAGATCAAAAGAGCAGTATCTGCCCAGGGATAAAGCTCAGAAGGCAAGAAGGGAGAGGACAGAAGGACAAAGGGAAATGGTAAAAACAGGGAGAAACTGGGAATGCTGTTACATCATGGAGACAGCAATCAACATCACAAAATGAAATGTACAGTATGAATTGTTGAGTGGAAAACCAATTCACTCTGTAAACTTTCACCCAAATGACAATTTAAAAATGAAATAATAGTAAAGCAATTTATAACAATAACAAAAACTATTAAAGTCCAGAAAACCCTATGGAACAGTCTTAACTCTGTCACATGGTGTCATTATGAGACAAAATCGACTCAATGGCACTTAACAATAACATGCTTGGGTAATTATTTTATTAATGTTAGACTCAATATTATCATACTAAGACTATTAGGTATTAAAACTATGTATTGAATAAAAGAATGAATAAATTGTTTATTTGCATATAAGAAAAGGAGAGAAGGAAGGAGGGAATGTGATGATTTGTTAAAGATGGGATTTCAGTAATCTTGAAAAATAGAGACATGAACTCTATAGATATCTCAAAAGTAATAGCTTTTCATTTTCACAGCATTCGGAAAGAGTGAAGGGAGATATTTTGATTTGTAAGAAAAATAAACTAACCTGATTGTTTCAGGGCATCCAAAAAGCCACGGAACCAGCCTTCCTCCTTGAGCCCCAACAGGTAGTCGAGAAAAAGTGAGGCAGCCTCCATAGTGCCCTTATTGTTTTTCTCAGCCTGAATATATTGTATCTCATCTACAAACAAAAGCAGGAGAGACTCATCAAACCACAGAACTACTAATCATTAAAAACAAAACAAAACAAACAAAAAAACACCTGTCAGACCTTCCTAACTAGAGATGGGATTGGAACAAATCATAGCATTGGAAGAGACTCCTGAGGGCAGCAAATTCTCTGCCCCAACAGACTGTCAGTTCTCCACCAATTCATTCTCTCATTGTCTCTTGAAATTTCTCCTAGTTTGGTGCAAAGTGTAGGAAAGTCTTTAAGAAAAGGAGTTTCAAAAAGATGCTTGGAAAAGGTTTCCCACAACAAGGGAGATGTCAAGTAGCATTAGGGTAGACGGAGGAATAAAGGATTTTTTGATGTTTTGTTCAAAATTACTGCTTTCAGAAATAATTAATTCATTACTTCAGAATCTACTGTAAGACTAGATTGTAAGAACAGGATCATACCATGGCATCAGTAACAATTACAGTGAACCCAGAAAGCAGAAGGGGGCAATGGTGGTTCATTGATAAATGCTTGCCTTCCATGCAGGAGGCCTAGGCTCAATTCCCAGTCAATGTACCTCAAGAGCAGCTACCACCATTCTGTCAGTGGAGGCCTGGGTGTTGCTAAGGTGCTGAACAGGTTTCACTGGAGCTGACAGACCAGGAAGGAAGGCCTGGTAATCTACTTCTGTAAGAGTACAGCCAAGAAAACCCTATGGAGTTCAGTTCTACTCAGCAACACATGGGGTTGCCAAGAGTTAGAAGCAAATCAACAGCAACAAGTTTGGTTAGGTTTTATTAGGTAATATGTGCTTAGTAAATTACCTTCAATGCTAATGAAATGTTTGACACAAATGAAGTGCTTTAATTTTTTGAATCAACACATAACTGCACAGAGAATGGGATCCACATCCATCTTTTAGTGTTTCATTCATTCCCATTTCCCTTTAGATTTTTTCTTTGACCCATTGGTTATTTAGGAATGTGTTGCTTAATATCCACATATTTGGGAGTTACCCAAATTTCTTTCTGTTACTGATTTTTCATTTCGCTCCACTATTACGAGAGGAGTCTGTGGGTGGTACAAAGAGTTTACACAATTGGCTGCTAACTGAAAGGTTAGCGGTTCAAATCTACCCAGAGGTGTCTCAGAAGAAAGGCCTGGCAATCTACTTTCAAAAATCAGCCATTGAAAACACTACGAACCACAGTTCTACCCTGCCATGCACAGGGTCAGCAGAGTTGACAATGACTCAATGGCAACTGTTTTGGATGTGTTTTGTTTTGTTTTTGTAAGGTGGTAAGAGAACATACTTTCTATTATCTCTAGCCTTTTAAATTTATTGAGATTTGCTTTATGGCCTAGCATATGGTCTATGTTAGAGGATATTCTGTGTTCACTTCAGAAGAATGTATATTTTGTTGTTGTTGAAGTGTTGTTCTATAGATGTTTGTTAGGTTGAGTCAGTTTATAGTGTCTTTCAAGTCTTTTATTTCCTGGTTGATCTCTTGTCTAGTTTTCGTATTCATTATTTAAAGTGACGTATTGAAGTCTCCAACAATTATTGTTGAACTGTCTATTTTTCCCTTCGTTTCTGTCAGTTTTTCTAACCTAATGCTCTATTATCAGGTGCACATGTGTTTATAATTGTTGTGTCTTCCTGACGGAGTAACTTTTCTATCATTATAAAATGTCCCTCCTTACCTCTATTATCTCTGTTTTAAAGTCTATTTTGCCTGATATTAATATAGCCACTCCAGCTTTCTTATGGTTGCTCTTACTGAGTAAGAGCACATCAAATTAACTTAGGACTCATGACACACGACGGTGGCTATGCTAAGGTCTGAGGCAGGCTAAACTCCATTTTGAATCAAAGGTAATCTCTGCATCAGGAATTCAGCCTGTCATTCTTGTAATTGTCCACTGTACCCTGAGAAAAGTATTTGGTAAACAATTTCAGAAAATAATTTAATTTTATTTGCTTATAGGTTGTGCTTGCTGCTTAGGAAGCCAGGTCCAAAACAATTTTCAGAAGAGATATGCAAAAAGGGCAAGAAGGCCGCATATTCTGACCTCCTAGAACCCCACAAGAGGAAGGCAGAATCACCATCAATAGCCCAAGGCCTACTACTACAAGGCCAGACATGCTGCCTCCCTCCAGCCCTTTCTCTAACCATTCCTCCCAAAGCACCCACCACCTCTCTCCTGGGTTCGATAATTCGCTGCAGTGGCCACACAGAGCTCACAGATTACAGGGTTTATTAGGGAAGCACCAAGCTACAACTCAAGTTCAGAAAAACGCTCAGTCTCTCTCCCAGCCCACTGTTTCCCAGCAAGTCTCTCACAGTCTCTCCCCCAGCAGTGCATGTCCCTCGGTGTCTTACTCAGCAACACGTGTCTCTTGCATCTCTTTCCCAGCAGCACATGTCTCTTTCAGGAGCACGTGTCTCTTTCAGCAGCACATCTTCCTCAACCAGTAGTGAGAGAGAGTTCTGCCTCTAGGAGGCCTCCTTTTGAGCTTGGCAGGGTGGCCAAACCAACCAATCATAACAACAGAATTCTAAGCACCTGAGAATGAGCCTCCCATAACATTGTGTAGTGCCACACCCAACAGAAATAACCCAGGTGGATAACATTTACAATCAGGAGCTCCTCAGTTGCTCATTCCACCACTGAGTTTACAATGACTTATGGGTAGAAAAGCCATACTAAGTAATTTACTACACTGCAAGATGTTTATTCAGAACTTTAGAATTATGTGTGTCCTCACAAAGGAGGGTCTCCTGATTGTTTTGAGACAAGATGTACCCAATTTAATAATTGCTTTGTAAACTTTAAAAAAAGTTTAGAAACTTATGTAATCTCCTACCAATCAGATGTACCATCACATAATTTTGTAACCATTATCTAAATGTCAACCAATCACTGAATTTTTACTGAATTTTTACTGAACTTTCTTATATAAATTCTCTGAACTGTCTCCTCCTTTGATCGTTTAGTTCAGAATTCTCTGAACTTTTGATTCCCAATCTGAAAATTGCCTTGCTCCTCAATAAAAGCTTCTTTTTAATGCATTTTATTGAAATATAATTTATGTACAGTGAAATACACAAAACTAAAGTGACATGGAGCAATGCATTTTTTTGCAGTGTTCCCTCCCCTCCTCTCCCACCCCTAACAATCAACAAAGAAAGTTTCCCTCCATATATAAACCTTTCCTTGACCCTCCACAACAACGAACTATTACTGTATTTGTTCTTCTGTGATTGACTTATGTCACTCAGCATAATGTCCTCCAAGTTCATCCATATTATGCGGTGTTTTGCAGACTCTGCATTATTCTTTAGTGCTGCATAGCATTCCAGTATGTGTATGTACCATAGTTTGGTCATCCACTCTTCCGCTGACTGGCACGTAGGCTGTTTCCATCTTTTTGCTATTGTAAATAGTGCTGTGATGAACATGAGCGTGCATGTATCTGTTCCTATCCTGGCTCTCACCTCTAGGATATATACCTAGTAATGGGATTGCTGGGTCAAATGGTATCTCCAATTCCAACTTTCTAAGGAATCGCCATATTGCTTTCCACAGTGGTTGTGTCACTTCACAGTCACACAAGCAATGTGTGAGAGTCTCAATTTCTCCACATCCCCACCAGCATTTGTTATTTTCTGTCTCATTGAACCTTGCCATCAGTGCTGGAGTGAGACGGTATATCTCATTGTTGTTTTGATTTACATCTCTCTGATAGCCAATGATTGTGAGCATCTTTTCATGTATTAGCTGACCACCTAATATCCTCCTTGGTGAAGTGTCTATTCATGTCTTCTGCCCATTTTTCAATTGGATTGTTTATTTTTTTGGTGTTGAGGCAATGGAGTTTTCCATCAATCCTAGAGATAAGTCCCTTGCCAGATATGTAATTATCAGCAAATATGAATTTGTTGCTGTCATTTTTGTCATGTGCTTTTTCATTGTGTCAATTTCTTTGTTCCATATAATTTTCTATGCTGAGCTTGTTTTGTTTATGAATCATGTTATCACTTCCTTCGTTGCTATTGTTTTAGTATACGCTGAATATTTATGCTGGTCCTCTTTTTTATTTTGATGTGAAGATTTATCATTTTTCTTTGAGATTACCCTGTAAAAAACAGTTTTCTTCCCAAGTTTAGAACAGTCCATTCTGTCTTGTAGTTGTCTTGACTTCCCTATATCATCGAAAAGTTCTGTAACAACACAGACTTTTTCCCCTCTTTTTAGTTCGTAGTAGTCCTCATTTGTCAGTTGGTGTCTCTAGTCTTATAGGCTTATTTACTTTGGATACTTCCATACCTGGGTTGGTTTCTGGGTTATATCATCATGCATGTTAATGGTCAGTTGTTGCTGGCTGTTGTTGCTTCTCTGGCCAAAGGACTCCCTTTAGCATCTCTTGTAAAGTTGGTCTGGTTTGAACAAATTCCCTTAATTTCTGCTTATCTGAAAATGTCCTAATTTCACCATCATATTTTAGGTACATAATTCTTGGTTGGAAGTTTTTCTCTTTCAGTGTTTTATATATACCATCCCATTGTCTTCTCGCCTGCATGGTTTCTGTAGAGAAATTCGAGCTTAGTCTTATTGGTTTCCCCTTGTAGGTAACTTTTTGTTTTCCCATGCTGCTCTCATGATTCTTTGTCTTTGGTTTTGGTGAGTTTGATGATAATATGTCTTGGTG